TTGGCGTAAAAAAATGGAAGCTCTATTTCTCGTATATTTCCTCCCCCTTCACCCCGTGCTTCACCTTTTACAGCGATGCAGACATGCAGACCTTTTATAGGCATGCAGGACTCGGACCGACGGCGATTCCGTGAAGTTGCAGATCCGTGATTGTCTCCTCTGCGACGTCCCTACATCTCCGGGACGGGAACTTCGACCGTACAGAATCCACCTGCTGGTCTCACGAGAACACCAAAGAAAGAAACCCGAGGAATCGAAAGAACGAAGAACGACACCGAGACCACGAGAGACAGGAAGGGAAGCGAGAGGGAAAAGGAGGTCACACGACTGGGAAAGACTGGAGGAGCCGGACTCTGCCGTTTCACACTGCCACGCCGAAACTTTCTCATCGACTGAAGTCCCGGATTTAAAAGACCGAAATATGGAAGCGAATCGAAAACGCGATTCCGAATAGGGAATAGAAGCAAGCGTTCGGACCTCAGGCCTCTAATTCGATCCGGGACGGTAAATCGAACTTCTTCCACCTGCTGGTCTTCGGGCTGACGAGAGGAATTCTCATCATCATTGCAAATTCCATCGTATGGTTCACACGAGACCGAAATTAATTCTAAAGGGATGACGGAAACGAGAATGGCAGCGGCATTTTACTCTCTGCGAAAATCGATCTCAGTACCAAATCATGCGCTTTCGAGTTGAAAATCGGCAGGGTTCAAAACCATGGGTTCAAAAATACACTGTTAAATACAATGATCAAAAGGTATCACCCGATGGGGCGACATTTGCTTCCCGTCCCGTTGGAGATGATTTCATTGCATCGAATCGTACGAGATCAAATGATACATATTGCCCAAAATTATGCCTTCTAGCAATCTGATAACATGGGAGAGCCAGTATTGGAATAACATCCTGGATGAATATTCCGCAAAAATTAGCACAAATGATGCGTCCACAAAACACCAAAACAGCGTCACACGATAGGGTCACCAGGTGCCAGATAGACACCGATCCCCCGAAACCACACCCCACAACCGCGTCCCCACACCCCACAACCGCGTCCCCACACCCCACAACCGCAGGGCCGTTTCTAGGCATATTGACGCCCATGGCAATGAGTTCCTATGGCGCTCAGGCGATAAGGGACTTATCCCCAGAAGCTGACAGGGAGCCGGAACTGATGGAAATCAATTTTTTAAATTTGCAACAAAAAACAAAGCCAAGTCAAGGCATATACTACTAAAGCTGATAATATCTATCCACATGAAAACACCGTAATTAAATACTCCTATGATGTGATAGATTAACTCAGCAGCTCACTCCAGGCAAACAGATTCAGTTTTTTACCTGGAAGGATACCAATAAACAGTATATCATATTAAGACATTGATTTAAATATTTTAAAAATCACATTTAGTAGGACTCACACTGTAGTCTAGGTGTAATCCTACCTCCTGGACACTGCCGAAGGATTCAATCTTTTAATTCGATAGAAAGCGAAGGCTTCACTTCCGTCGTTTCTTGCCTCGATCGGGGCGCCGCACAAAGAAACAATAATAAAAGTTTTTTTTTTAGGGAGTTAGCGTCCACTTTAGGCGAACTAGTTCTAATCGGAACGAGAGAAATTTAAAAAATAATAATTATATTTCATATTATGCCGTGCAGCCTCCTACCAGCGTACCAGCGAGTCTGATCGAGACGAGTACAGTGAAATACAGTCCGTCCGAGCGGGGAAAGGAAGAGACGGCAAGACCCGCTTGAGCATGCAATCTCTTATCACGATCAAATTCTGGAAATGCTGAGACTGACTATACGAAAGACGGAAGGGGAAAAAAAGTTTGAACCGGAGGCAGGAAGTGGGAAAGGAGAGGGAGGGAACACCGAGTAGAGATTTTTTTTCTCTTCCGTTTCAGTCTTCCTTCGATCTCGTGTGGTGCATGCCGTGAAAGTGGACTTTTCGTTTACTCTCTTCGTTTCGAAACGTACATCAGTTAATCATGCAGGCTTACGTTTTGAATTTTTAACTTGCCCTGGAGCATTTTACCTCTTTACTTGACCCAAAATGAACCCAAAAGGAATTTTGTACATGGACGTCGCTTGAATCCAGGGCTGTAGGAACGTTTCGGCAACCGCCGGTATGGCACCATCGACAGGTTTTCGGTCTGCCGGTGCCGATGTCCAAAGGAGACCCAGCAGAACGAAGAAAAAGAGAAAAACAAACGACGTGCTAGGCAACCGATTCTCAACGGCAATAAGAAAAAGTAGCAGGCAGCTAAAAAGTGGCAGGCTTCATCACTCGTTGCGAAGATCACAGGGAGCCGGAACTGATGGAAATGAATTTGTTAAATTTGCAACAAAAAACTAAGCCAAGTCAAGGCATTTACTACTAAAGCTGATAATATCTATCCACACGAATACACCGTAATTAAATACTCCTTTGATGTGATAGATTAACTCAACAGCTCACTCCAAGCAAACAGATTCAGTTTTTTAATTGCAAGGATACCAATACACAGTATATCATATTAAGACACTGATTTAAAAAAACACATTTAGTAGGACACACACTGCAGTCTAGGTGTAATCCTAACTCCTGGATACTGCCGAAGGATTCAATCATTTAATTCGATCGAAAGCGAAGGCTTCACTTCCGTCGTTTCTTGCCTCGATCGGGGCGCGGTAAAATCCCACGCTTGTGATCTGGGGGGGAGGGGAGGGGAGGATGGGGAGGGAGGGAAGGGGAGGGGAGGTGCGACCTTCGCAACGAGTGATGAAGCCTGCCGTGCCTCTGGCTATCGAAAATGACATTTTTCATCGATGGATTCGTCAGGACAGTCTTAATTTTTTTTCTTATTGCCTTTGAGAATCGGTTGCGTAGCGCGTCGTTTATTTTTCTCTTTTCCTTCGTTCTGCTCGGTCGAAACGTTCCTACAGCCCTAGATTCAAGCGACGTCCATGTACAAAATTCCCTTTGGGTTCACTTTGGGTCAAGTAAAGAGGTAAAATGCCCCAGGGCAAGTTAAAAATTCAAAACCGTAAGCCTGCATACCAAAGAGAAAGACGAGAATATAGAGAGGGGGATTAACTGATGTACGTTTCGAAACGAAGGGAGTAAACGAACAGTCCACTTTCACGGCATGCACCACACGAGATCGAGCCGATCCCTGAAACGGAAGAGAAAAAAAATCTCTACTCGGTGTTCCCTCCCCTCTCCTTTCCCACTTCTTGCCTCCGGTTCAAACTTTTTTTCCCCTACCGTCTTTCATATAGTCAGTCTCAGCATTTCCAGAATTTGATCGTGATAAGAGATTGCATGCTCATGCGGGTCTTGCCGCCTCTTCCTTTCCCCGCTCGGACGGACTGTATTGCACTGTACTCGTCTCAATCAGACTCGCTGGTACGCTGGTAGGAGGCTGCACGGCATAATATGAAATATAATAATTATTTTTTAAATTTCTCTCGTTCCGATTAGAACTAGTTCGCCTAAAGTGGACGCTAACTCCCTAAAAAAAAAAAACTTTTATTATTGTTTCTTTGTGCGGCGCCCCAAACCCCCCCTCCCCCCCCTTTTTCCGTTGGCGCCCCGGCGATCGCCCGCCCCTAGAAACGGCCCTGCACAACTTCGTCCCCACACCCCTCACCCCATCCGAGCCGGCACCCCTTGTCCACAGAGACGATGACGGAAGCGAACCGACTTCACAATCCCCGAGAGACGGTGGATCGGGGATCGGGGATCGGCTTCGTCCTGGCGATCTTCGACCAAGGTCCGCCTGCCCCGAGAAGAAACTCGGGTGCTCCTGCCACAACAACCCCCATCACAGGAGAAAGTAATTCATGCGAATCTATATTGCTTTCCATGAATCTATTTTCTTTGCTAACTTCTTCGGAAGTGTTTCTCCACCTGGGAACGAATGCAAACGAACGAGAAAAGACGCGATGGATCGTATGAAACCCTCCAGTTGTCAAGAAGACAATTTTATGGTACCGAAAGGAGCCTGCTTCCGTCAAGGCATGCTTCTCAAAATTTAATCAATTATCAATTACACAGGGAACAGGGCTTTCCCATTATATCACGTGAGCGACGTTTCTTACTGAAATATGGAAACCTAACCACTCTTTTGGAAGTATGCAAAAAGTACCCAGGGTGCAAGCACTACATTTTTCTCGTATCTCCAGAAGTTTCAAACCTTCCGATGAAAACAATTTCTGAAATTTAACATCGGAGTGAATGTGAACGTCCTTTCATCCTCTTCCCCGAAAAAGACAAAAGACAAAAAAGACAAGTCCATCCAAGCCAGCGCCAGACAAATAGATGACATCTCTGCTCCCGCGAGATTACCGACATGTATTCGTGGAGCCAGCAGATGTCGCCCGATACCAGGGCGACCATTTTGTTTTGGTGGTACGTCATACGAACCATGGGAGTTCTCGTCACATTGTCGAGGTGTGTTTCGTGCGTGGAGCTCCTTCGGTGCACTGCGAATTAAAAAAAAAACGTTTAACTTGCTCAAAACATTTAAACATGTGCATGATTTGCAGGATCCATTAAGTGGATGGAACTCGTTCAAACTACGTGAATTCTCCCAAGAGACAGAAAAGCAGGAAGTTTTGGCCAGACAGACTTACGACGGCTCACGATGAGCATCATACTTACTGGATTTTGGTCATTCGGAAGCCAATAAGATGCCAATAAGAATGTGTCTATGGAAAATGAATGAGTGTGAATGCGATTCGCAGGAGCATTTTGCTTAACAAGAGATTTCCTTGAAACATTTCAAATCTATCGCTGCGTACGGGAACGATGTATACAAATAGAGGGGAGAAAAAAGAGGAAAGAGAAATGAGAAGCTTTGGACATGTAGGTCTTCCTGCAGAAAAATTTTTTTTTCTTGTTTGGGCGAGGATGAAAATAGGAGTCCTTGGGATCTCGAGATTCCATTGGTGGAGATAAGAAGATCACGAGGTCATCGGGGAGATAAGTGCGAATGACGAATACTCACATGATTCCAACGATCGCAATCCCAGGCAATCCATCGGGGAAATCCTTTACGATGCGAAGGAATCGTATTCATCCAGGTGCGAGTGAGCGTCGGGGTTCCGTCGTCGTGTGTCGTGCGTCTTCGCCGCCCGGTCTGTCCTCAGCCCAAGAGTTCAACTTTCGTAAGCGCGTCCCGAAAGGCACAGTCCGGAAGGTCTTTCGATTCGGGAACATCCCTTGTTACTGAGTTTCGGTACGGTGGTTTTTCGAACCCTTCCCTCATGATGGTATCGAGGACTGAATATCTTGCCTGGGTACTCGCTACATTCCTTCTTGTGAGTTTCTTTTCTTTCTTTCTCTCTCTCTCGCGGATTGTCAGCATACAGGGAAGAATGCCGTTTCATGCGCCGGCATTCGGGAGCAAAAGGAGGCAGTGTCCTCGAGGAATGGGTCATGCTTCCTGCGTCCCGTTCCTTCACCTGTTGCACCGAAGTGAAAAGTCGAATATACATGATGTTGAAATACATACATGATATTGAACACTTCCGCGATGTTTCCAAATTTATCAATACTTTCAGATGCAATACATTAGAAAACGTTTGCATACTTTCACATGCTCGTTTTGGAGGCTGCTCGAAGTCCTTTGAAAATGTCTTCACCACTCTGAGATATGACGGGTAAAAGGAAAATTTCCCAAACTTATTGCTTGTGCAGCTGGAGGCAGGAGAGGCAGGAGGATGCGAGAATCCGGATGATTTCTGCAAGAGACTTTACAATAGGGAAACAGGGGAGGATCCTTGTCCCTCTTCGCATCTACAATGCGGATCCTGCTTGGATGGGTATGGGTTTCTCTTCTCCGTTTCTGCCCATAGTCTCGCACGATGGAATGCCAACAACTCATTACGACCTTCACTTTCTCGAATAGTTATTTGGCAGAGGAGTGGTCGGATGGGAGGGAGGGTGACGTGTGTCTGCCGATCGCTGCGTTCGATTCTGAAGAGGATCCTGGTCATTCCGTTCATCTGGATTCCGGAGAGACTGGGATTCAAGGCAAAGGACAAGGACAAGATCAAGGAAACGATCAAGATCAAGGACAAGATCAAGGACAAGGACAAGGAGTGAACCTTGTGTCCGTCATCGTCCCGATCGCCGTCCTCGCCTGCTGCATTATCGTCGGCTTCTGGCTTTGTGAGTACAAAATAATTCATTTCTCCCCTCCCAAAGACTTCCTCTTTGTTTGCTGACAGTGTATTTTGCGAACCTGAGACTTATCCCTACCATTATTCACTCCTGTAACGACCATAGTGGAGATACATTGTAGTCATAACATTGCGAAGAGTAAGCTCTCAGTATGATCGCGATGATTGCTAATATTTACTTCATATACTTATCATTTAAATAATGATTGGTATAGATTATCTTTTCCATCGCTCTCGTTTCGCTTTCTTGGTGATCATTTGTGCTTGTTTAGTTTTTTCGAGATTTCGCGACACGACCCTTACGAAACGAAATAGATGATGAACGATGCAATTTTCAGGGTCGAGGAAGAGGAGGCAGAACTCGAATCCGTCGGACGTAGAAAGAGATTCGGAGTTGGACTCGGAACCCATCGTCCGCAGTTCCTTCTCCACGTCGTCCACGGTTCGCTTCGAACCACGCTTTTCGGCCGTCGGCCCATGCATGCGAAGCGGGCCTCGGCAGCTTTATCATGGTGGGTGAACGGGGAGTTCCCCATTCTTTTTGGCTGGGATTCTTGCACGTGTCGCGTCACGTGCGCTGTACACGGACTTCCGTCGGGGATTACAGATACTTTAGAGGATGTTACACAATGGCTTAGTTCCCTTGCGCAGTTCTCTGATAAGAGGAAGGGGGGGGGGGCCTCGGAAAGTAAACATTGAGAAACTTCTTGCCTTTACATTATCTCTCCCGTGAAGTAGTTACATGGATAGATCTAGTATCTCAAATTCAAATGCAGTTATACACTTCTGACAAGGCTAAAGTCGATTGCTCTCAATCTGACAATTTATTTCTTTATTTCCTCGAATTTTGTAAGAAAGATCCAATTACTTCTAATTCGTGCTGAAATTTGCACTCAAGCGCAAACTAGGAAATTTACTTCTTGGCCATTTTTTATCACTTGGATACGTTATGCACACGTTATAAGGATTAAGCTTCCAAAGGTTTGTCTAAACTTCATTGCAGAAAACACAACGCTCCTGCATGGAGAAGGAAGCGTTCGGGCGGAGACGCCGTCGAAAATGCATCATGGAATTATTCCCGAGGAAGTTGAGAGAGTTCTTGGAGCCATACCGTCGAACTGGGAAGATTTCGGGAACAACCCTTATTCGGCACACCAGTAAGCAACACTTTAAGGAATTTTATCATTAGAAATTCAGCACTAGGCGATTGGAAGGAAGAAATGGAAGAAATCTGAAGCTTATCTACCTCTTTTCAGTTGCGTACCTGGGATCGGAGACGGGACTGGATTCCTGGCTCCTCCAACCTCTTCTGAAGCTGACCTCTCAAGCATCTCTGGGGGTTCGCCCCCTCGATCGCTGCCTGATTCGGGTTCGTCCTCCTGGTCGGAAGCTGACTCATCCGCAAGCGGGACACTCTCTCCTTCTCTTACCATCCGGTCGCTGCCTTGCCCACCTTCCCTTCTGTCAGTCCCTTCTCCACCCCCTACCCCATCGTCCGCTCCGCCCCTGTCCTCCACTGAATCATCTGCGTCACCTTCCTCTCCACTGTTCTACGGGTCACCACCTACATCAGCCCTACCAGAATCTGGAAGGCAGTGGAAATCGACCACATCCGAAGAGCATGCCCACGAGATTCAAGCCATGTTTCTCTTCACAAGTGAATCCATGGCATCATTTTCGTCAAAGTCTCATCACGACGAGGTTGGCCGTCATTAATAGTCGCAGCCAGCAAACAGCCAGCTATCTAGATCTCCGCTATCGTGCCATGCATCATGCCTTTGCTATGGCAAGATTTTTGTTACGTTCTCTCAATTCTATCTCTTTTAAGCAATATCATTATTGTTTGTGGATGCTTCTGTATGAATGCCAATGAAGTCATTTCTCAATTTTCTGTCTTTCACTTCAAAAGTGGGGCATTGCAGAGAGTGGCTTGGTCCGACCACGCACATGGATGACAAGCGAAAGATTGGACTCCCGTCTCTGGCTTAGAGATTTTTTTTTTTTTGGCCTAGGAGGGAGGGGAGGCGGAGGGGGGGGGGCGCGGGGATCTCCAAGGGTCATTTCCCCCGAGGGTTGAGGTGTGCACGGATCAAAACGGTTCGACAAACTTTTTATGGCTAACCGACGGAAACGGAGACGACTTTCTCCAGTTCTGATGCCTTGTTTGTGACAGGGAGCAGATGAAGCTCTTTCATTATAATAGTTTGAAATTTGACGCTTCTAAATGCATATTTTATTGACTTGAGATGACGATCAACTGCTTCCGAATCAAGTGATTGAAGATGTACCGTACTGCTTCGCGCAACTCATGAGTTTTATAACTGCGACAATTTATCACTAGGTATTTAACGTGAGGAACTAATTTTCTGGAACATAAGACTACATTCTGCAAAACTTTTTTCAGTCCATGGACCCTTCCATGGACATTGGAAACCAAATTTCAATACGGGTAACATAAATGAACCAAAGGACAAAGACGCCATGAGTAAGTTTATAGAACGGATGATAATGATCCACCTCCAACGACGAGCCATCACGAAATAATGGGATGATTCACAGACATGGAAGTAGAGACAGAGGAGAACAAAGACATCAAGAAGGACCAGTTGTCGATGTTAATGAGAAAGGAACTGAAAGCGGAGACCGCGTTAAGAAAGCGAAGGAAGAAGTGCCTGCTGTACCAAAACCTACTGATCGTCACGTCTTCCTTTGCCTTTTCTCTTTACGCGTATAGGGCAAGGTAGAACAGCAGATGCATTCAGGGGGGGGGGGGTTGGGAAATCAGCTTATCATGAATTGATAAATGAAACATTTTATTTTTCTTGACGGGGGCTGTTAAAATTAACATCTAACTTCGTGCATGCCGAGAGGCATGCACGAAGTTCCATGCAATGCTTTCAAGGGTGAACGTGGTGGGTTAAATCAGTGTGGCTCATAAGGCCGACCTCCTTCGTGCCAGAAGAACATTAGATATTATTTTCATACCTTTAAAGTTACTTGGACAAGGACTAACTATCCGTGGACATGAAGACAATGAAGGAAACTTCTTTCAGATACTTAAAGTGAGGTCCGACGATTATGAAAAACCGGAGTGCTTGAACTGAGGACATCATCGCGAGAAATGGTCGAGCAAGGATGTACAGAATGTGATTCTCCAAATAAAGGCTGATGAGGTCCTGCAAAAGTAATATCTGAGGATCATTCATCCATATTCTTCGCTATATTGATCGGCGAAGCGAAAGATAGCTCTCATTCCGAGCAACTCAGTATTTGCTTGCGCTAGTGACGCAGGGGGACCTGAATATGAGCGAGTCTTTCATGGGATTTTATGAAACAGACTTATCGACAACCCCCGACGAACAGACTGAGGATTACCTGAACGCTTGGTACAACAAACCGTTCGCACCAGGAGCCGATTCAGTCACGAATGAACACCTCAAAGGTTCCGCTTTGCTCTTAGTCGCCTTGTGGACAAAACTGTTCAATCTCTGTTTATCTACCGGTACTCTACCGTCGTCGTGGAAAACCGATCTGAATATTGGCAAAGTTTCATTTCACCTAGACGTGACGCAATAACCTGATTTCATTTTGGTGTCCATATTCCCCCAAGTTACCCTATGGAAAAAATTCATCGGAAAAATTTTCTCGGAAAACATGGCTCGACTGGCTTCATGAAATCAGTGAAAAAAAATAGAGATTTCTTAATTCACTGGGACCCCATCGCGACCACCCTAGGGGTCGCGACCCACAGTTTGAGAACCGCTGTATTAGACAAGTTCCTGGAGAAAAAGAAAAATCGGCAGGGCAGCAAAGATACAGCAAAGTATCAATGAATATAAATTACCGTCTACTAAAGGTACTGGTCCTCCATAGGCGGCAATTCATAGGGGGCTCGGGGGCCCCCCAAACATTTGGCAGAAGGGGCTCAGCTCCCCCAAAAATTTGGAAGGGGTTCACCCCCCCTCAACAATTCCGTTTTCTTCTTCTTTTTTTTTGGACTGACTTGAGGATTTTAGTCCCATGAAAATATTTCATTTCCATCCGACCGTTTGTAGCGTCGGAGTAGGAGGAACAGTAGGTTCAAGACTCAGTGGGAAAAAAAAAACGGTTTCTCAGAACAATGAGATGATTAATGGAGCCGATAGACCTTTGGCTTGGCTTCCTGACAATGAGGTGAAAGGGAAAGCTTTTTGACCCAGGGAGGCTGAAGGGAAATTTGTGGATTCTCTCTCGGGGAAGAGAAGGGATTTCAATGTGAAGATTATATCCAACAGTTCAGTTGCTAGTTTCTTCCTTTCTTCGTCGTCAGTGCAATTTGCTCTGAGAATGTTGACAATTTCGTCATTGAAAATGAATGACTTCTTCCTCTTCGATAAAACTGTTGGCAAGAGGTACGCGAGAGGAGAAAGGGGAATCCAACAACTCTGAAAATGCGACTTGTTTCCAAACAAGTCATGTGGCAGTTTTCTCATAACTTTCCCTTAACCTAGTTAATGAATGATGCAATTAAGAGGATTAGCTATCTCTTTGCTGTCAGAGTCTGGGAAAGTTTTCGACGCTTTCGTTTCTGTTTCTGTTTCGTACTCAGTCGAACGGGACAGAGGAAGGAAGTTCCAACAGAAGAGGTGCGAGTGTTATCCCTGGTTATCATTCGAACGTTCCATAGGGAAGGGGCAAACATTCGAGAAAGGCCTCCTAACGTCCACAAACAAGAAAGACCGTGCATTTATAAGAGTTGGATTCAATAATTGGAAGAGTCTTGGAACAGTTTTCCGCTCGTAAGACCGAGTACATGGAACTTCGTTCCATGCAATGCTTTCAAGGGTGAACGTGGTGGGTTAAATCAGTGTGGCTCATAAGGCCGACCTCCTTCGCGCTAGAAGAACATTAGATATTATTTTCATTACTTTAAAGTTACTTGGACAAGGACTAGCTATCCGTGGTCATGAAGACAATGAAGGAAACTTCTTTCAGATACCGAAAGTGAAGTCCGACGATTATGAAAAACCGAAGGAGTGCTTGAACTGAGGACATCATCGCGACAAATGGTCGAGCAAGGATGTACAGAATGTGATTCTCCAAATAAAGGCTGATGAGGTCCTGCAAAAGTAATATCTGAGGATCATTCATCCATATTCTTCGCTATATTGATCGGCGAAGCGAAAGATTGCTCTCATTCCGAGCAACTCAGTATTTGCTTGCGCTAGTGACGCAGGGAGACCTGAATATGAGCGAGTCTTTCATGGGATTTTATGAAACAGACTTGGAAACTCTCTTCTTCGTGGTGAAGGATGCGTTGCTGAGGTTTCACTTAAAATCACTGATTCAGATGGAACCCTAATCCCTCTGAGAGGAGGGGGGGGGGGGGCTTGGGTTAGGGACAGCAAGGACAAAAGTACAAGAAGTAGTTGCGAAGGAGTACTAAGTCTATGAGCCCCCCCCCAAATTTCTCAACAAATCGCCACCTATGCCCATGACCTTTGGACCTCCTAAGACTCCTCTGAAGAAGGCTTTGTCCCGTTAGCTTGCTTTAATAAGGTCACAGAGCCGCTCCGATATACGCCAAAAGTGCAATGATATAGTTGGATCTCTATAGTTTGTTGCAATAAAACAATAATTCAGTGGCCATAACTTATTGCTTAAAGATAAAGTTACACCCAACTAGAAAAAAGGAACATGGGTACTTGATACTGCATTTTTTTCAGATTTAGCTTTGGGCTACGTCCTTGCTCCAACATGGTGAGAAAAATCATCGAGGTATCAAAGATTAAAAAATAGTTAATAAAGGTATGTTTCAGCATTTCATAAGTAATAAAATCACATATTTCGTAATAAGTTTGGTGCAAGTCCATAAAGGTTAATAGAAAATAAATTAGGCCGCCCCAATGAGATGCAATTCATTAGATGCCAAAAATGTTACACAATTCATTTTGACAAAGAGGAATAGATGCAAATGCTTGTGCTTTGGAGACTCAAAGAAATAATAAGCATGTCTGACTTTTTCCTCTTTTACGCTTTATTCTCTTCGAATTTATCATATTTCTACATTGCATCAATCGAAATTTCGCGCATCGATCAAACTGCTGTCGACAATACCTCTCGAGATATTCGGGGGCGAAGTGCACTGTCAGGTCTTTTCCTTCCATATTCGAAGAGAGGAATGCGTCACGACCCCATGCGATAAGAATGACATTCATGGACTGTAGCAGAGATGAGGTGCTCATCAAGGATATAGAATATCACTAGAACGAGTCCTTCCTTCGTGTTGGCCATCTCAACCTACTCTTCTCGTCCACTTGCGATGGCTGGGAATTGTGGAAACTGTGAATTCGCTTACTCGTATTTTCCGGATCATGGGATTCTGGGATCGTATTTCTCAGCTGAGTCACCCCGGAGTTTCACGTGACCATTTCCTTAAGTTGCAACCGGATTGCATCATGTTGTTAAGAACATCGCCATTTAAAGGCCTTGCTCTTTCATCCATCGAGCTCGCCGTATGACCAGGGTATTCATTCGTCCTTACCTCTGAAGTGAGTCGATCGTGCTCCTTTGTCCTTGTGAATTTCCTTTGTCCTTTTTAAATATAGAATTTCAGAAATCTCGGGGGGGGGGGGAACAAATCTCGGAAAATTGAAGCATAGTTTAACGTCTGTTAAATTGTTCGAATTTCGGTTAATTTTGAAGTGGAACCATTTCATTCCAACTCCACTCAATCGTGTGAATCACCTCTTTCCTCCCTAGAGCAATCAAGCAAGCCCAATGTTCTGAAGATTGAGGGGCTTAAGAAAAACATTTGAAGATTCCTTCGCGA